TGATGATGGACATGTGGAACTTCAACAGGTACAAAATTGCAAACAATTTTTATTTATCAACAACGAGTTTCAATGCTATGATGAAAATGAAGATTATGACGCTGCAATCGTTGCTCGAGTTGCAGCAAAACACACAACAGCATCGGAAGACCAAGAAAGTGATGATGATGATGCCGCTAGTAAGTTGGTGCAAGTGACAACACAGTATGCAAGGAAATGCATTGAAACTTTGCATCAATATTTCATGCAGGAGGGAAATGAAAGCAGTCCCATTGCTGCTTTAGATGTTTGTGGTGATTTTGTTCACATGCAATCCGTCAAGAGAATGCGTCAGATCACATTGGATAAGTTCTTCAAATGTTAACTGGAACTTGGTAAGAACTTATTGTGCTTCGCATGTTGAGTATTGTGGAGATTGTTTCTTAGAATTTGTTTCTAAATTAATTTTCTCAATGAAAAAAAGTTCGACTGTATTTCTTGTTTGTACCGCACCATAAAGTTCATAATTACATTTTAGTACATGATTTACATATATATTTACTGTTTGCTACATAGATAGCACATTCCGGCTTACAACATAGCACATGTTCGTGCAATCGGACCAGCCAGTTATTAGGATCAAAACGATCGCTTCCCGATGTGGTCAGATTAACCGGAATCGACTGTTCATGACAGCTTCAGTAATAACTCATGCAGTGATGTCTAAACTTTTTTTTATATTAGTAATAGAATAACAAGAGTATGGCAACCTTTTATGCTAACATTACGCTTGGTGATGATTATAGATTTTTAAATGCTCTTAAGAAATGTTGACGAGGAAAAATTAAAAAAAAATTCCTTTCATATGCTAAAAATAGATTTTGTTAATGAAACACATAGGTCAGAAGATTGTTTTAAGAATAACTGATATGTTATTCACTATAAACCCAGATGCGGCAGCAGAATAATATGTTGACACCAGACGGCAGAATTTAAGGAAGACAAAATTTTTGGAATTTGAGGAAGCACCGAGTGGCAAAATTAAGGGCTGAAAAGTTTTTTTTATAATTTAGAGAAAGCATTGAGATCCAAAGTTTAGGTGCGCTGAAAATTTAGAACTTAGGAAGGTCCTTTGTAGCAGAATTTAGGGCCCACAGAGACGGCACCAAGCGATATCTAGCATCGGCAATAGAAGAGCCTTAAGTATAGGTGGGTGTTTAAGAAGAGCCTTAAGTATAGGTGGGTGTTTATTTATTCACCACTCTGATTAGTTTTAAGCATGTGCAAGAAATAAGTAAGTATAGTAAATAAATAAACTCATACAATTCAGGTTTAATTCAGTACACAATAGGACCATGACAAAATTTAGCAGAACAACTTGGCTTTCGTCACCAATAATGTATAACAGATGTTATTAAGCTAGGCTAAAATTATCTTTACTGATTCTAAGGCATTTAAGTTAATGTACCAGACTGCGCTACTTCTTAATCTTCTAATTTATTTGATCCAGCTTATTATTTTTTGCCGACTGTTATTATTACAGCAATTTTATAAAAAATTAAGCTTGGAACTTTTGATTATATCGAAGAGTTTCCAATTCTGGAACTGCTAAAGGATCTACAAAACGAAAGCATATTTCAATGTCCATTAAACAAAAAGTGGAATTGCTGCAAAAAAATGGAAAGCATATCCGTCTCAAAAGTATGTGAGGCGTATGGCATTGGAAGCACAACTGAATATGACTATGGTGTACTATAGCACAACTGTGTATGACATAAGAAAAAAGAAAACGGAATTTTTTGAATTTTTTTTGTGGATTCCGACACCCCACTCACAATGAATAACAGGAAAAGTGTTCGTTATGCTAAAAGTGACGATCATGACAAAATGATGATTGAATGGGTCAGACAGCGTCTCAGCGAGAGCTTGCCATTGACGGGTCCAATGCTAATGGCTCAAGCCAGAACGTTTCATGAAGAAAAGAAATTAAACAGTGATTGTACATATTCGACAGGTTGGTTAACCAGAATTAAAATTGCCATTAAAAATTGTCATGGTATAAGGACAATTAAAAATTTTCAGGTGAAACCTGAAAGCTTCAGCTGATACTGAAGCTGCTGAACAATTTGCAGATGAATTCATTGAACTCAGTACTAGTGAACAATTATCTCCGGAACAAATTTATAACACTGATGAAACTGGTCTTTTCTGGCAATAGGTACCTTTGAAACCTCTACAGAAAAGGCACCAACTGGTGTCAAAGATTCTAAATCGAGAGTCTAACAATTTTAGTGTGCACAAATGCTACAGGAATGCACAAGTGCAAACTTTTTGTAAACAGAAAAACATGCATGACCTCAAGCATTTAAAGAAGTAAAAACGATTTTTCCCGTGCAAATAAAAGAGCATGGATGACACAAGCGTTGATGAATGATTGGTTTGAAAATCATTTTATATCCGAATCTCGTCAACATTTGAATTCAGTTGGTTTACCTGATGACGCAAAAATAGTGCTGATTGTAGACAACTGTTCGGCTCGTACTTCACTTAAAGTTTTAGTGAAAGATAATGTATCCATATCATTCTTCCCTCCAAATTGTACGTCTGTCATTCAGTCTATGGATATCTGAATAGTGCGCGCGCTGAAATGCAAATATAAAGTAGCATTTTTAAAATCCATGTTAAATTTCTTGAACAATGGCAAGACTATTCAAGAATTTTAGAAATATTTTAGCATAAAATCTACTGTGTGGAGCATCGCAAGATCGTGGAAGGATGTGTCTCCAGATAGGTTAAAAAATGCTTGGCATAATTTATGGCCAGCTACTATATTTCATGGTGAGGACGATGAAGATGATAGCCGCGAATTTGAAGGTTTTCGGACATTGCAAACTAAAAGTGAAATTTTCCAGTTATTGGATTTTGTAAAGAAACGTGGAGAAGCGGTAATAAATGAAGATGATATAACAGAAGTTTTCATTGTGATGACAATGCCCTAATCATCAATAAATTAACAAACAACGAAATCTGTAGTAAGGTACCAGAAAATACCATTACCAATAGTGAAGAAAGTGACAGAGAGGTAATTGAAGATGAAAAAATATCGATTGACAAGTTTGTCGGTATTCTCGACACAGCAATTACAGGATCTGAGCAGTTGAACTTTGTAGCTGAACAAAAATTTGTCTGTTTATAGAATGAAAGGGAAAGTATTAGCACTAAAAAATGAAATAACTTAAACAACTTGCATTGAAAGAAACGTTTAATAAAGTAAACAAATTATATTAAGCCTTTTCTTTTGTAAATTTTGATACCCTTTAGATCATAATTGCTCTTTATTTCATGTTTTTAATTGTATAATTTCTGCATTCCATCTTACCAGATTTAAATTGATGAATTAACATCCAGAAAAATCCCAAATCTGGAATCGCCGAAGCTCCGGCGAGTCCGGATTTCGGACTTTATACTGTAGCAGAAATCTGAGAGAGCTTTTGTCTCAGCTGAGATGCGTAACTTCTCGCCTATCTGCCTCTTAATTTAAATTCTCATGTCTTTGTTTCTTTGCAGTAATATTTTTTTTTTTCTTGGAATCTGGATCTTTAAAGCAAGTTTCTTTCTTTCAAATGCCAAAAATTGTCTGACAATATATTATTAAACACGCTAACAATAATTGTTCGTGAAGATGATATTTTTGGTGGCGGGAAGCTTTTGTTACAACCCCGATACTTTAAGTTTAGAAATATGGTCTACTATAGAGTCGATTTTTGTCATTGATCAGTTTATTTTTGTTCAAGTAATGAGTGTTTACAGTTCTTCGTAGAGCCTTATTCTGTACTATGTAAAGTTTGTGGAAGTCCAGATTTGAGGTTGTGATCTAAGCTGGAAATATATAGCATAGACCTCTAGATGCAATATACATCCAATTAAAAATTTCTCAAGAAAGAGCATGTAATTTTATGGAAAGAAATTTTTCATAGTGAGTAAGATGGGTATTGCAAGTATTCATATAGCCCTCACTGAACTAAATTTCTAATAAATGAAATATTCATTATATTTTAATTGCTTAAATATAAAGTTCCCTAACTTTGAGTGCAAAATTCAGAAAATTATAATATTATGATTTACTCACTCACTTGATCATTGTATTGACTTACAACGTGAGAGTTCCTTGGTTTTGAAAGACTTCTACATTTTTTTAACCACTTCTGGCAAAACAAAACATATATCTTAAATCAGTTATATTCCAAGGCTGGAACACCAACTTGGTCAACACCTAAATATTTTTCATATTAGTAGAAACAGTTCCCCCTTTCATAAAGGGGTTCCTCACTGAAAATAGGATAGGACATCTAAGACCCTCCTGAAGCTTTAGGTCAGCAGTTGTTTTTTTTTTTTTTTTTTTTTTTTTTTTTTTTTTTTTACAGTACTGGCAGTAATCCCAAATTCCTTACTTTTCCAAAGAAGACTGTATTCCAGACCAGAAGAAAAGACAGTAGTTGCTACTGAATGTCTCCTCAACAGAAAATTGGCGAATGTCAAGTTTTCATGGTCTCGGTGATAAATAATTTTGAGAATTAAAATACTGTTTCAGTGGGAAATTACACTTATTTTCATAATTTTTCATTTGTTTTATTACTTGTATAAGGTGGTCCTAGTCCATTGTTATTCACCTTTCATTTTCCGCACAAACTGGCATTGTAATTTATCATAAGTATTGTGTAGTAAATGTATGAAAAATTTTCTAATGTAAGAACATCTTATGGGGTCCTTCCCCAAATGCAAGTGTTGGGGGGCCTCTACATTGGTTCATTATCCCATTTCAAAAATTGTTCATGAAAAATTACTGATGTCATCCACACCTTTAAATTATACTTACAGTCCACTGGTATCTCTTTACTCCTATAAAGCATTCAGAATTTGTTCTTTTTCTTTCTTTTTTTTTTTTTTTTTTTTTTGCCATACATATTGATGCAGCTAATTCGTTACATTATTTATTGATATTTTACATTTTTAACTTTCAGTTTTGAACAAATATGTATCTTGCAACAATGCACAAGCACATAGACCTGTTTCATGGGCATCATAAACATTTTTAGGACTGTACTTCATAGACAGTTTAGAGCATTCATTTGATGGCCATGTTCCTGCATCAGATAAATCAACATATTTCTCTTCACCATGAATGCTTTTGTAAACAATAGTTTGTTTTCTATCAGGTAAACTTGCTATTAATTTTTGTTTTTATTATTTGTTTGTTGTAGTTTTAAAACTAGCTGTTTGTTGGCTAGTATTTTCAGCTAATTCTAGCTGGGCATTTTTATTTACATGCTAGGCTGATTTTTTTATTTGACACCCAATAGTATATTAATAGTCATTCTGTATTTTTTTTAAGAATGTTTAAAACTTCTTCTTTTACAGAGGTATACTTTTATAAATATAAACAACAAATAAATCCATGTAAACCTGTTTCACATGTATTATTTCATAAGTAATTTTTTAGATAATTTTTGCATAGAAAATGATTTTTCTGATGTACACGTGATAGCTGCTAATGTTAGTAACATTTTCAGAAGTTTGTAAATAGTAGGAAATATCTCTTTATTGTAGGCCTCTAAAACTTCTATTACAAAAAAAAAAAAAAAAAAAAAAAAAAAAAAATTTTCTTGATGCAATTTTTTTTGCCAAAGTTGATTTCAATGTGTAAAATAAAAGTCCGAAATCCGGACTCGCCAGGACTTCAGCGAATCCAGATTTGAGATTTTTCTGCATAAGAGATCATCAATTTAAATCTGGTAAGATAGCATGCAGAAATTATATAATTAAAAATATGAAATCTTAATTTATAAAATAAAGAACAATTGTGATCTAAAAGGCATCCAAATTTACAAAAAAAAAAAAAAAAAAAAAAAAAAAGCTTAATATTTATTTGTTTGCTTTATTAAACATTTATTTCAATGTAAGTTGTTTAAGTTGCTTCCATAAAAAATTCAAAATGTTTCTTTTTCTTATGCCATATACAGTTGACTTTCCAATGCCATACTCCTCGCATAATTTTGAGATGGATATGCCTTTATCCATTTTCTGCAGCAATTCCACTTTTGCTTATTGGACATTGAAATATGCTTTCATTTTGTAGATCCTTTAGCAGCTTCAGAATTTTAAACTCTTCAACATAATCAAAAGTTTCAAGCTTAATTTTTTATAAAATTGTTGTAATAACTGCAAAAAATAATAAGCTGGATCAAATCAGAAGATTAAGGAGGAGCACAGTCTGCTTGCTATATTAACTAAATTGCCTTAGAATCAGTTAAGATAATTTTAGCCTAGCTTAATGGCGTCTGTTATACATTATTGGCTGTGTATCACAACATTGGCGACGAAAGCCAAGTTGTTCCGCTAAATTTTGTCTTGCTCCTATTGCATACTGAAATTAAGCCTGAATTGTATTAGTTATTTACTATACCTATGTTTATTTCTTGCACATGCTTAAAACTAATCTAAGTTATAAATAAATAAACTCCCACATATACTTTATCTAGGGTCGGTGCTAGATACTGCCTGTTGCAGTCTCTAAATTCTGCTACAAAGCGCCTTCCTTAGTTCTAAATTTTCACTGTGCCTAAGCTTTGGATCCCAGTGCTCCCCCCCCCAATTATAAAAAACTTCTCATCCCTTAATTTTGCCCCACCGTGCTTCCACAAATTCCAAAAATTGTGTCTTGCCCAAATTCTGCTGCCGCTTCTGGTGAATAACATATCAGTTATTCTTAATTAAAATATTACTTAAATGGCACTCTTGGCCTATGCGCTTTTAACAAAATCTATTTTTAGCATATGAAAAGGAATTTTTGTTAAATTTTTCCTCGTCAATATTTCTTAGAGCATTTAAAAAATCTATAATCAGCATAATGTTAGCAAAAAAGGTTGCCTTACTCTTCTTATTCAATTACTAATATAAAAAAAAGAAGTTTAGATATCACTGCATGAGTTATTACTGAAACTGTCATGTATTGATAAACATCAGTGTTAAAAGCAAAATATAATAAATAATGACTCGCTAGGTCGGCGTCAGGGATATAAAATAGGTGAATATTACGGTTTGAGAAGTAATGCCAAGCAGACGCTCAGCTGCGGAGCCAAATTATTAATCTCGCAAAAATATGCTTACATGATTGTTTTTTCAGAGCGATGTATTTTATTTAGTGCCTAAGTACAATTAAGAATCTGAATTTTTAAGTGAAAATCTCTGCATGTTTTATTATGGAAGGGAAAATCAAATACGCATGCATAAAGCATACCCCAAAAAAAAAGGTTTGTGGCTTTGAGGTTCGGATTTTAGATCATTTCGGATAATGGACGTCCGGGTTTCAGACTTTGTACTGTATTACAATTTCACAAATTGGAAGAATGAATGTTTAAAACGTTTTCGAGTTTACCTTCGTATTCCGATTAAAGCGGTATTTCTTTTTTTTTTTTGGGGGGGGGGGGAGAATTAAAAGAATGCAATCTTTTTTTAATAAAACGTTCTTTCAAATGCAAGATCATACCCTGCAGGAATTGATTGAATATTTATATTTGAAAATATAATTCTGTGGCTTTAAGTGGCTAATAGATTGAAACAACATGTTTGCTTGCTTTCTCATCTTTCACAGAACATAAATTTCAGATTCTTCTTCATTTATTTGCTTCAGAACCATGGCTTACTTTGTATAAATTGCATGGGATATTTTTTCTGAATTGTAACAAAGTTCTTGTTTTCTTAAAATATTGCCACATAATTGAATTGCTGAAGTGAAATCTGTCGATTTTTTTACTCTAAAATTCTTGTTAATAGCAACATATATGAAAACATGTTTTCTATTGAAAATGATGCAATCACAATAGCAGACCATATTAGTGAATTCAAACATACATAGGGCCCAGAAGATAATTCCTTATCATGCCAGTTCTTTATTTCTAGTGCATTAACCAAATGTTTTAGTAATTCCACCATAAACATAGCAGATGTATGTATGTTTGTCTAGTGATTGGGATAAATCCAGTATGTTCGTGAATAGAATAGATGGAATTTCTTTACCTACATACAACAATTTTCTAATTTCCTTAGCTGGACCACTGCAGTATATGTTCATCCACTGTTTAGGTTATACAGTACAAAGTCTATAATCCGGACTTGTAGGGGCTTCGGCGATTCCGGATTAGGGGTTATTCTGGATTATAGATCATCAATTTAAATTTTGTAAGATGGCATGCAGAAATTATAAAGTTAAAAATATAAAACAGTAATTTATGAAATAAAGAGCAATTATGATCTAAAGGGTATCAAAATTTACAAAAAAAGCTTAATATTTATTTGTTTACTTTATTAAACATTTCTTTCAATGTAAGTTATTTAAGTTGCTTCGTTTTTTTGTGCTAATACTTTCTCTTTAATTCTATAAACAGACATAATTTCTTGTTCATTTCCACTGTTCAAGTCCTGTAATTGCTGTGTCGAGAATACCGACTAACTTGTAAATCGAAATTTTTTTGTTTTCAATAACCTCTCTGTCACTTTCTTCGCTATCGGAAGCAGTACATCGAAACATGCTTTCGCTTTGTAGATCCTTTGGCGGCTCCAGAATCGTAAACTCTTTTTGACATAATCGAAAGTTCAAGCTTACTTTTTATAAAAATGCTGTAACAGTCTGCAAAAAATAATAAGCCGGATCCAATTAAAAGATTAAGGAACAACGCAATCTGCAACATTAACTGAAATAGATAATTTTGCCCTAGCTTATACCGTCCGTTATACGTTAAATGCGCATGCGTAAACGTATTATGCGCAAACGCATATGCGCATGCGTAAACTCAGAATTTCTGAAGCGTTTACACATATGCAGAAAGTTTGTAGCTTTGAGGTCTGGATTATGGACGTCCGGATTAAAGACTTTGTACTGTAATAGTGATAAGCTTGAACAAAATAGGCATATGTGATATTTTCTGATAAAACAAAAACTAGAGAAAAGGCAGTCTAAAATAACCTCTGTCAGTAAGAAAATTAAAAAAAAAAAATTCAAACTTCTAGTGAAAAAAAAATTGAGGTATGCATATGGCCCTCCTCTTGTTTGTAGAACACTGGCATACCAAGTCTTTTTAGAGCAAGTGCTTTGAAGTGGGTTATTCTACTTACAGCACAGAGGGACATGTGGTTTATGCATGATAGAGCTCCAGCAAATTTTAGTCATGGTCCTGCACTTCTTGGATGTTGCATATCCTAGATGGGAATTGGACGTCATATATATGTGGCTTGGCTTCCATGCATACTAGACTTATTCACTAAATTTCTGGGAGATGTGAAATCATTGGTGTACGAGACATCTGGCGAAAATCTTGTCTGTAGAATACATTGTTGCAATGGATAAGATAAACGCAGTGCTAGTGAGAAGGTACGTCAGTCCTTCATTCATCAGTGTGAACTATGCAACAGAACCCTTCATGCCATTTCAAGTGCCTACTTGGAGTCTTTCATCTAATCTGACTGTGATGGTCCAGCATATAATTTCAGTCTTTTTTCACCTTTTATAGTTCAGCTTGAAACTTTACACTTGGACATTTTAAGTACTATTCATTTTCATGGATACTATCACCCTCTACAGAGTGTTTGTGAACACTCTGTATGTGTGTGTATTATGTGAATTTGTCTATATGCATTTACAGAACTATTTACATTGAGTCAAAGCACGAAAACACCATCCATTTTGCTCCTTTTACCACGGACAATTGAACCTAGAATGAAAATGTAGGTATTTAACAATTGGCCACTGGTGGACCTTTGTTAGTGATGTCAGTATCAACAAATGTGGACAGTTGCTATGTTGAGAACTATCATATTCACTCATATTTCACGGATAAAAAGCAAAGTACTTTGTGTAAATAAAAGGAAGAATAGTGCATTTAACTACTGTAACTGGAAACTTTTAAAGATAGAATACAATGATATTAGTAAATATATTCATGTATACATTCAAATGTACAACTACCCTTCCTTTCAGATATAGTATACACCATATAATTTCTCTTCAGAGTTTCAAAAAGGTACAATTAACCCTTTGACTCGCGCTATGTTATTTAAAAAAATTTTTAAACTAAAAACACTAGAAATCGAATATTATGATCCTAGAGACAAATAATATATGAATTAAAAAAATCTACTCCCGCTCATTAATCTGTGGGTGGTGGTTTCGCTGTGAAACCAGCACGCGTCTAGGACTTTGAAACTTACTGAGTTAGCAGGAAAAAAAAACTTATCTTTTTCCGTACGCATTTCCAATGAATGACGAAATTTGCGAATAATAATAATAATAATAATAATAATAATAATAATAATAATAATAATAAATCATTTAAAAATCGCATCAAATCTAAATTTTCTACTTTATTTTATAAAGTATATCATTAGAAAAAAATTATAATTTATGTAATTTTTCTGCAGCAGTGAAAACATAAGAACGTACATAATAAGGAAATTGGGATAAATAGATAAAAAAACTCAATAGAATATTAAAAAGCTCAGTAATTTTTTTAATCTCAAAGAACTAAGTTATTTTTTATGGAACTATTCAAAGCATGTTTTATCTTTTTGGTACATGCACAAGCCAACACTGCACATTTCGCACATGTATCTTGTTCTATGAGGTTTCTCCCTTGCGCTACAAAATCTACACCGCTGGGATTTGCATTTTACTGGCATATGTCCTGCGTTTTTTATTCGTTTTTCATCTGGCACATAAAATTTACGTTTTTTTATGTTGATAGGCAGGCTTGATCTTTTTCGCTTTGGTACGGATCCTTCGTTTCCCATTCTTATCATATTACTGATTATATTCATTCTGAAAGACTTGAGTATTTTCAAACTGGGGTCACTTTCTGGAAGCATTCGGTATATAATGAAGGCATTTATAATGGTGACATCAATAAAATGAAAGAAGATTTGATGTCACCATTTTTTGCTTTTTCTATCAATTTCATATAGGCTTTTTAGTTGGTCAAAATAGTCCACATATCCCATATTTTTATTATAATCTATAATTGCCATTGGACATTGTATCTGAACTTTCTGTCTAGTTTTTTCTTTCCTTTCTGCATTAGATGGAATAACGGGATCAACTAGGGGAACTTCTAACCCTTTGCGAGGCATTTTGAATCTCAACAGTAGAAAATAAAATATTGGCAAAATATTTTAAATTTAATTAAATTTTTGCGCAATTTCTATTTTTAATTATCCAAAAATATGTTTGCAATTTTTTGGAACCACACAAAATAATTTAGAAAATCACAGTACTAGCATAGAGAACAAGCATGTTGAAAGCAGAGAAAAATGTGTGGAAACGAAAAATATTTTATGGGGGCAGGTGCATGTATTGTTTGGTAATACAATAACTCTGGGATTTTAAAACCCCCTATCTATATCCGAGTGAAAATAAACACTTCTATTTCAAAGCAGCAAACATTACTATAAAGAGCAGTGGTTTCAGGGCGCGATCACCGAGCCTCTAGAGGAATGTGAGCATTGTAACGCAGTGGTCGCGCCCTGAAACCACAAAGGAAATACCATAAATATGCACAGGTTGTTTATTTATGCAGTTTAATTATTGTTGTATTTTTATTGTTTATGATAGAAATAATGATGTGCAATAAAAAAAATTTAAATTTTAAGTTATTAATATGAATAAAAGGAAGTTATTTTTTCTCACTGAAAATGAATTTTAAAAGGCATCCGATTTAAAATACTAAGACCTAAAAAATGTATAGTTCTGCAGTAATTTTGCGTTATTTAGAGGTAATAGATAAGTAATCAATATTTTTTCATTCAAACAGTTTAGAAAAATTTCGAAAATTGGTGGTTTCAGGGCGCGAAAAAAAAAGGGGAGGAATATGCGAGTAAATGTACCAAGTATCAGATTCTCAAATTATTTTCAAAGGTGTAAAAAAATTGCTATCTTGTAAGCAATGTCTTTCTTTGTAAATACTATAAATGTCGTTATTTATAATTTTTGTTGAAATACTGAGTAACATTTAAAACCTTTTCAAGATGATAGGAATAATCTTTGATTTTTTCCCCTCCTTTTTTTTTAATAGAAAGATGAGCTATGATGGCAGCTTATCAGAGGAAATCAAATGAAAATTTATCCTTTATTTTGTACGAAGTTGCTTCAATTTTTAAATATGTGTTCAAGTAAGTAGAAATGAAATAATTTCTGGTTTTTGTTTTTGGAATTTTTTTTAATCTCATAAACATATTATTTTATATCTTAGACAGTGTGTTAAGTATTAATTTTTGAAAATGCACAGAGTTGGATTCTTTTTGTAAACACGATTTTAATAGAGAAATAATTTGAGTTTTTTGGATTACCAAAATATTAATATATATTTATATGTAATGAATAATTTTATATAAGAACTTGTGTAATTTATGCATGCTAGAGTTTGCAGATAATCAGCATTCCAGCACATGTGCGCAAAGCAGGTTAAGTAATGCCATCTACATTGTGTATAAATGAGAAGACTGCACTGCAAGTTTCTAACTTGGAAATCACATTTGATGGTTGGTTGCTTGTATAGAGGTCATGTTATATACCTCGTGTAAGAAGTAGAAACTCCTACCAGTGCATGTCAAAATTCAACCACTGCAGAATCATGGCCTGTTGCAACTGCAGCTTATAGTTCTATGACATTGCTGCTTGTGTTTGTTGGTATTCCATGACTATCAGGTGAACAGAATAGATTGCTTCAGCAGAGTTATATTAAACCCCATGTAAGATCTCAACAGCCACAGGTCACTAATGCCCAAATGGACAAACATGTCCTTTCGGCCATGTGGGATAATAAGGCCATATCATGTACACCGAGTCAGAAATGTTGCTCGTGTGCAGGGTGACAAATGTCCATACGGACAGTGCGACAATATCTGCAGCATCACAAACTGACAGCACATGATCATGGTTGCAGCTTCCTGTGTTGCTGCAGCAGAGACTAGCATGCTGAACGCTGACAGTGGTGGAGTGGTATCACATCACCTTTCAAATAAATCCCAGTTCTGTGTATGACATCACAATGGAAGTATTCATGTGTCAGCATCAAGGAGAACAAATATTGGCAGCTTGCATTCATCATTGCCATGTTGTTATGGAGGGCCATTGGGTACACATCTTTGTCACTTTCTTGTTCATGTAGTTTGTAATATGGACAGCTGCTGCTACATTTCTTATGCAGTAAGATCAGTGAATATGCTTTATCTTCAAAGCCGTTATAACATCTACCTTCAACAAGATAATGCATTACTGCATGTTGTCCTTGCTGTCCTGACTTTCCTGATCCTAGAGGGTGTTAGACTCCTGCATGCTACCCTGGATAACATATTCTCCAGATCTATCAGCCGTTGAAAACATCTGTTCATGGGTTGCTAAGAGACTCGCACACTAATATTTGCCAGCCACTAGGATTAATGAATGGCATAGGAAAACTGCATTGGAGTGTTATATTTGTCATCCAGTCTCAGAATTTATGTGCGGGTGGATTACAGCCATTGTTGCTACCAGAGCTGGCAGCACTGTATACTGAATTCTGTTTCCCGTGTACCCTAAACTATCTGCAAATTTAATCATGTCTTCTTCCCATTGTAGTATATGTGTATAATAAATAAAGTTGTGCTCTTTTTTTTCTTTCCTGATGTAGCAATTTTAATGGCCAACAGAGTAATCACATTTCACGACATTAAGGTTTGTCAAAGTCATAATTTTGAAGAAAAATATCGTAGTGTCATGTATTTTCTATTCTGGTGCATGAGAAAGGCTTATTAATGGGCAAAAAGTGTGAAAGTTACCTTCCTCCTTTCTGAAAATGACTTGTATGGTTGTTTCTTCAAAAGTTGGGACATATGCTTTTAAAACCATTTTATCTTAATCTTTTTGGGGGAAGTGTCTGCTTTAAATTTAATAATTTAATAAGAGAATTATTAAATCTGAAATTTAATAATTCTCTTAAAATGTAAAAAGTGTATTGTTGTCTGGGTCTATTCATCAGAACATGGCTGATCATGAGTGACACTAGATGGTGTGTCATTGGCCAAAATCTTGGGCATGCAGCTACCGACTATGGGCATTCAAAGGAAATTTTTGGGGGAGCAGGTAAATATTGGACCCAAGTAATTATATCAATGTATTTTTATTTAATTTTTTTTTTAATTTGGGGGAATTCACAAGCATATTATAGAATGTAGTATTGTATCAATACAGAGGGGAAAAAAAAAAAAAAAAAAAAAAAAAACCTTGCGCTATACATAAACCAAGAAACACATTTTCTACTCCATAGCAGGCGTGGCAAGGGTCCCATTTCCTCCTCCGTGTGGATGCCCATGTTGATGGCAGTATCATTTTGCCTGATTGCATTACAATATTGATTGGAAACAGCCCCAGAAATAGAATCCAAGGATTTCAGACATGGAAAGGTGCATCCTTCTTTATACACACACTGGCCAATGAATAAGAAATCTTTGAGGTTTTCACTTGAATGCATGCTAGGGATGAAGTATACATTTTTTTTTTATGCTGTGGGTTACACGTGGATAGAATGCTAGTATAAGTAAGGTGTAAGAGTGCTTTCCATGATGAATGAAGTAAAATGCAAAAGACGACAGATCTTTCATCACTTGAAAAAGGGCTTATTATTGGTGTCTGTTTAGCAGGGGCCTCAATTTCGAAGACAGCGAATCTCGCTGGATTCTCAAAAGCAGCCACATCAAAGGTTTTCAAAAGTTGGAATTGGAACCCACTGTCCTTCTCTAGAATACGTAACTGCAGTTCAAGCAGTTTTCCAATAGAGTGATTGGTGCAGTCTCCGACGATACAGTAGGACAGGGACTCTTGCTGTTAGTGAACACAGATCGTCAACCAATGCTCTTCCCAACAGATTTCAGCTCAAAATATGCACAGAGAATTGCAGATGATAAGAATGCATAGTCAGGTGCCTGTTCAAAAACCACTCATTTTTGCCCGACATGCAAGAATTTCTTTGCAGTGGTGTCAGGAAAGTATTGGAAACATATTAATGTGGTTGGATGAATCCCGCACTCTGTATTTTGCACTGATGGAAGAATTTACCGAATTTGGCAAGAACCCCATGAAGCCTTGAATCCATCTTGTCTTACTCACATTGTGCAAGTGTCTGGTGAGAGTATCATGATATAGGGAATATTCTGCTGGCATGGAAGTGGTGCCCTGGTGTTCTTTGAGAATGAAGAAACAGCCATGAACTACCTAGATATACTGGCAGATCAAGTACACCCTGCAATGTTACAATTTTACCCTAATGCTGACGGATACTTCATGGACAATAATGCAACTATACATCATGCCAGATGTGTTCAAAATTGGTTTGCTGAATATCAGTCTGACTTTCAGCACCTTCCCTGGCCACAACATAGCTTGGATGTTAACCCATAGGAAATTTGTGGGATATGGTGGGCAGACGCATTTGACAGCACTCTCCTCTTCCATCTAATTTGCAAGATCTAAAAAGCTGCATAGCCAATGCATGGTAGTCTCTGAATGTAATTGCATTCTAGAAGCACCTAGACTCGGTGCCCAAACAAATCAGAGTAGTTATCTGTGCAAAAGGTGGTCCAATAAAATATTGATCTTGGGTTTCTAATTCATTGGCCAGTGTGTGTGTATATTTTATTTTACATAACAAACACTCATTACACAGTGCAAAATACTTTTTCAATTTTTTTTAATGATATAGAAGAAATTAGAACATATGTTGTACTTGAAAATAAATAAAAATTACCCCTTACATTAGAGTTCACTGTAGCTGTTTTTCATGAGCTAGAACAGAACCCAAGCAACACACACCAAAGCAACTATTGCCCCACATCGATTGCAAAATTTCTAACTCTGTTGTATACACTATCATCTTTGTTCAAAATAAAGTTTGAATGATAATAATAAAATCAATAATATTTTCAAGACTTGAACTGTTTCTTTTAATTTAATTTGAATGGTAATATACTTTCTACACTGTCTGTCAGAGAAATTACCACTCCAAAAAGAAGCAAACTCATTGCCATGCAAGTAATGCAAATTGAATAATTTTATAAGGTATTTTCTTCCTCCATTCTGCATGCTTTCGTGGTGTAGTGGTAGCACATTCGGTGCGTATTCAAGAGATCCGGGTTCAAGTCTTGGCAAGGGTATTGCTCATTTTTCATGTCTCCATCATTGAAATAACCTAATGATACTACAGTGGTGCCCGAACTAAAAAAAGGGTGGATGGTGTTCTTCACCACCAGGATTTGGCAATTGGGTCCCCTAATCCTCAGTTAACTTTGTGAAAGGGAGAGTATATATGGCATTTTCTCCCTCCTCTATGCATGCCTTCGTGATGTAACGGTAGCACAGTCAGCACATATTCGAAGGGTCCAGGTTCGAGTATCGGTGAGGGCATTGCTCATTTTTCATGTCTCCTGTATCAAAATAATCTAATGACACTTCAATTTGTGTCTGATTGAAAAATTAGCAGATAATTAACATGTAGGATATAAACAGAACAAAACACAAGGGCATCAATTTCATAATATTGTTTTTTGTTTCTGAATCTAGTTATTGAAGAAGACTTAATAATGCCATTAAGACATCACTACATTTAGTAAATGGACAAACTTGCAATCAGTTTCATGTCAGGTCTCCAGGCTGGTTGGTTCTTCTTCTGTACTGTGGAGGAAAGACAGATTAATGTCACAACTTTTTGCCAGATTTGGAATAGTTGACCTGTAAAGGAAATGTACAGTATTGTAAGGGAGGTAGAGCAAGGAGACAGATTCTAGAGCATCCTTGAATTACCCAAGGAATGATTCTTTTCTCATGAAAATAATAACAAATATCTTTTATTATTAAGCATTTATAACATAAATCTACATTGAAAATTAAAAAAAAAAAATGCTCTTACCTGTGGAAAAAGCAAGTGTTGCATTCACGCAACGTCAGAGGAATAAGACTACATATGTTTAGGATTGCACTCGTGTGATGTTTCCTGTGAGTGGAGCGCAGGATTACTTTTTAGCTGTATAATGTTTTATAAATCTACTAATCACTTTACTTGTAATTAATTTAATATTAAAATATGCATTATATTTCTTTTACAAATACAGATTATTTCAACTGAAAGATTCAAGCATGA